TCGATTCGTACCTGCCGCTTGAAGCTAATAATTAGAATTACATTCGCCAACATAAACAGAAATTACGAGTTGGGCTCTATCAAGGACTTGCCGATCACATGGTAAACGCTGGAGGACAAGCCGGAGCACAAGCCGGAGTTCCTGTTATTCTGCCGTCATCTTTTGAAGGTTCACCGCGGAACATGAAATAGCGAAGTGCGGACGCGATGTCAATTTTCGCGAAGCAAGGCGCTCCCGATCTCTTCATTACATTCACTGCGAATCTAAGGTGGCAATAAATCACAAAAAATTTGCATCAAGGTGAACAAGCATCTGATCGACCGGACTTAGTGGCACGTGTTTTCAAGTTGAAACTTAAAACGTTGATGCAGGATCTCACTGTGCGTGGTTTTTTGGGAATCTCAACGGCTTTCGTCTACACCAGGGGTCCTCAAACTACGGCCCGCGGGCCACATGCGGCCCGCTGAGGACATTTATCCGGCCCATGGTCACTAATTGGGCTGCGCTTGTGAGCACTAATTGGGCTGCGCTGGTGAGCACTAATTGGGCTGCGCTGGTGAGCACTCATTGAGCTGCGACGGTGGGCACTGATTGAGCTGCGGCGGTGGGCACTCATTGTGCCCACCGCACTGCGATCTGTGAACAAAACTGCAGGTGTAATTAACTTTTTAATGGCACCCGCACCAGTGTGAGCCTGGGGTAAAAGCGGAGTTCCCCCAATCAGACTGCATTGATGGGCAGTGCAGTCTGTATGTCTCTGTGTGGGCAAAGTTATTGCTGGTATATTGTTTTTGTAGCGTTTTATATATATATTGGTATTTTACTAATAGCAATTTTGACTCCCTAGGAAACAATGATGTCAAGAAAGAGAAAAATTGACTCGGAGTGTAGGATATTCAAATAACAGTGGACTTATGATTACTTTTTCATGCAGTACAAGGAAAGAGCTGTGTGTCTGATATGCCAGAATATAGTGTCTGTGTTCAAAGAATACAATTTACGTCGACACTATGAAACTCAACATGAAGATAAATATGATTGTTTGGTCGGAGAAGTGAGAAAAGATAAAATATTAAAACTGAAAAATACATTAACAACTCAGCAAAATACTTTTGTGAAGCAGAAGCAGCTAAATATTTCATCACTGCGAGCAAGTTTTCAAGTTGCCAAGCTAATAGCGTGCACTGGCAGACCATTCGTGGAGGGAGAATTTGTTAAAGAATGCCTTCTTTCTGTTGCCAAAGAGATGTGTCCAGAGAAGGCCGATTTATTTAGTACAGTGAGTCTTTCAGGACCTACAATTACACGGAGGATTGAAGAAATGGGAGACAATTTGCATCAGCATTTGCAAAACTCCACAAAAAAACTTTCCTATTTTTCCTTGGCACTCGACGAAAGCAATGATGTTCGTGATTTTGCACAACTTCTAATTTTTATTCGTGGGACGAATGACTATTTCAAAGTCACAGAAGAGCTTGCTGCACTGCAAAGCATCAAAGGAACAACTACAGGAGAGGATATCTATGAAAAGGTTTGCCAAACTGTGAATGGTTTTGAGCTGAACTGGGCTAAACTAGCCAGCGTGACAACTGATGGTGCTCCTAGCATGGTGGGGTCTAAGAAAGGAGTAATTGCTCGCATTAACCAAGCGATGGACAAACATAACCATTCTCATCCAATAGCCATACACTGCCTCATCCACCAACAAGCGCTGTGTAGTAAATCACTGAAGTGGGACTCTGTTATGAAAATTGTGGTATCTTGTGTTAACTTCATTAGAGCTCATGCACTAAACCACAGACAATTTTAGGAATTTCTGTCTGAGCTAAATGTTGACTATGAAGATGTTCTGTACCACACAGAAGTCCGTTGGCTGAGTTGAGGGAGAGTTTTGAAACGTTTCTATGACTTATTTCCACAGATTACAGCTTTTCTGCTTTCAAAAACACAAAGAAGTACCAGAGCTCAATGATGCAGAATGGAAATGGCACCTTGCCTTTCTGACAGATGTAACAGAGCTACTCAACAGTTTCAATGTGCAACTTCAAGGAAAGGGAAGCTCATCTGTGATATGCAATCACATGTCAAAGCATTTGAAGTAAAATTAGGCCTCCTCATCAAACAAGTGAAGGAGGAAAACTTCTGCCATCTCCCCACAACTCAAAATCTATTAGCGGAAAAACCATTGGTTGCATTCCCAAACAAAACATGTGTGGATTCACTGGAAAAATTGCAAAAGGAGTTCCAATTTAGATTTAAAGAGCTTCATCTCCATGAACAGGACATACAGCTTTTCCGTAACCCATTTTCTATTGACATTGAAAATGTGGATACAATTTACCAAATGGAACTGGCTGAACTGCAGAATTGTGACTCTTTGAAAGACGCATTCAAGTCAAGCAGCCTTCATAATTTATATGCATCTCTCCCCTCTGAGACATATCCTCATCTCAGGAACCATGCACTCAAAATGGCAACCATCTTTAACAGCACTTATGTCTGTGAACAGACTTTATACAGAATGAAACATTTGAAATCTCCAACCAGATCTAGACTAACGGATGCACACTTGCATCACTTGTTACGACTAGCAGTGACAAATATGGAACCGGACATTGACCATCTCATTAGCCAAAAAGCAGGCCCATAGTTCCCATTGAAATACTGGCAAGTTTGTTGATTTAACTTTACTTGTTCTTCATTTTAAAAATTGTATTTTTCCCGTTTTGTTTCTTCACTTCAAAATAAGATATATGCAGTGTGCATAGGAATTTGTTCATAGTTTTTTTTAACTATAGTCCGGCCCTCCAACGGTCTGAGGGACAGTGAACTGGCCCCCTGTTTAAAAAGTTTGAGGACCCCTGGTCTACACCATCGAGTTCCAGAAACGCGGACTGCCTCACGCACACATCTTTATAACATTGCGAGTTGATGATACATTCACGAGCTCTGAGCGCATCGATCAGGTTGTGTCTGCTGAAATTCCCGTTGCGACTGAAAATCCGTGGTTGCACGAAATTGTCACTAGATGCATGATGCATGGCCCATGCATAGCTGCGAATCCTCAACACCCTGCATGCAAGATGGAAAGTGCTCAAAGGCGTTCCCGAAGCAATTTGCTACCACGACAGCGCACAATGTGAACGGATATCCTCTGTATCGTCGGCGACAAGGAATTTCAGCAGAAGTTAGTGGATCGTCAATGGATAACAGATATGTGTTACCGTACAATCCCTATCTGCTGCTGAGGTACAATGCTCACATCAACGTCGAAGTCTGCAAATCACTAAGAACTGTGAATTATATTTATAAATATATTTACAAACGATTCGACTGTGCCAATATGACGATCACTGCCGGCGAGAATCCTCAACTTCGACACGACGAGCTGTCAATTTCATCAACGCAAGACACGTGAGTGCACCAGAAGCTATGTGGCGTTTGCTCGAGTCGCCAATACACGATCGTTCGCATGCCGTGATGAGATTACCCGTGCATTTGCCAAATCAGCAAGGCGCTATGTTTCAAGAAGGTCGAGAAGAAGAGGTGTTGGAAGCCGCACAAACAAGTCGCACTAAGCTAGAATCTTGGTTTCAGCTAAACGTCATTGATCCAAACACCCAATATTTTCTCTAGAACGACATTCGCTACAATTATGTGTATGTCAACAACAACTGGAAGCAGAGGAGGCACTAAGATTGTTGCGATATTGTACACTGTTGGAATCAAAGATGAGGAGCGATTATATCTTAGGATGCTCTTGCTGTACGTAAAAGGCGCTACCAGTTTTGAATTCCTCAGAACCGTCGATGGCGTAGTTTAAACCACATTCAAGGAAGCTGCCTTTCATCGTCATTTTCTGGACTCAGACGAAGAATGGGATCGATGCATGCAGGAGTCCGCGACATATCAAATGCCGAAACAAATGCGACAGACGTTTGCGTACATTTGCTGCTTGTTGTGGAACAAGCATTCACTTGAAATGTCGCTGGATTATCTACGAGGTCATGACGAAAATGTTGCATTGAACATGGCTCTGCACGACATCAACGCGATTCTCAAACAACATGGATTGTCTTGCGCATCAATTGGTATTCCGCAACCGATAGGACATGTAATTGAAGCTCGGCTATATGACGCAGTGCAAGAAGCTGAATTTGCTCCCTAAATGGGAAACAGTTTGAAGCTTTCTCAGCAATAATGAGAGCTGTCGATGATGAGCATGTCCACAACAGACTTTTCTACTTAGATGGTCCTGGCGGCTCTGGAAATACTTTTTTTGTACTCCACGCTGCTCTCATTTGTTCGTGGAAAAGGTCAAATCGCTGTTCCTTTTGCGACAACTGGAATCGCAGCGACTTTACTGAAAGGTGGACGAACTGTGCACAGCGGATTCAAGCTTCCAGTTCCACTCCTCGACATATCGTCTTCATCGATCAGACTGAATTCGCCAGAAGGCGAAACGCTACGACAAGCTTCACTCATCATCAACTCTTCTACACAGAAACCTGGTATTTTTATCATCACCTTCAAAATATTCACATAGTTTCGTTTGTGTGCTCACAACTATTATTTTATTATTCACTTGCTCTGCATTCTTTTTTTTGTGTCAAATCACCTTCATAGAAACCTTTTTTTCAATAATCACCTTGATAATATTACATTCATAATGTTTGTGTGCGGACAAATTATATTTCTGTTCCAACCTTCTTCCACTAAACTCATGTACATAGAAAGTGTGTGTCAGTCCATGCGTGTGTCTGTATTTTTCTCCCGGGCAATGCCGGGTACTGACCGCTAGTACCATATACTATGAGCATGTCTGTTTGCACGTTTCACCACAGGACCGGTTCAGATAATCGTCACCGGTGCCAGTGACGGCCATGAGCAGGGGCGGTTCAAGGCGGAGTTCAGCGCTAACCGCTGCGCCACCGCTCTCCCCGGGCCGCGTTGTGGCCACGCCCCTTTGTCGCCCACGTGGTTCTGGGGTTCCGGCTCGCACGAGAGTCCGAACCACAGCGAGCAGCAGCAGCAGCGGCGTCAACATCGCGAACATCAACAACATCATCACTACCATCAACAACATCGCTACCAACATCACTAACAACAACAGCAGCGGCGCCAGCAGCGGTGTGAGCGGTGAGTGGCCGAGAGTTTACTCGCTTAGACAGCTTCCTGTGTGTGGCGCTCTGTGTGTGTGTGGCTCTGTGTGTGTGGGGCTCTGTGTGTGTGTGTGGCTCTGTGTGTGTGTGGCTCTGTGTGTGTGTGGCTCTCTGTGTGTGTGTGGCTCTCTGTGTGTGTGTGGCTCTGTGTGTGTGTGGCTCTGTGTGTGTGTGGCTCTGTGTGTGTGTGTGGCTCTGTGTGTGTGTGTGGCTCTCTGTGTGTGTGTGTGGCTCTTTGTGTGTGTGTGTGGCTCTTTGTGTGTGTGTGTAGCTCTGTGTGTGTGGCTCTGTGTGTGTGGCCCTGTGTGTACAGTATTTCTCTCTGTATGGCACTATATGTACAGCATTGCTCTATGTATGGTCCTGTATGTACAGTATTGCTCTAGAATACTGGCGAAACTTCGTACTCAGATTATAAATGTTGTGGCTTTGCTCTCCAACACACCGGTATGCTGTACTAGTAACGAATTGGCATGTTCTGTTTGCATGCCAAACCTTACTAATTGGCTGTGTCTGGTGGTGGCGGGTTTAACGGCACATTTATATATTTACGTGATCTAACCCAAACAACCTGTATTATGGATGATATTGGTTGCAAAAGCCTGCGTGTTATACTGCATTGCTCTATGTATGGCTCTATGTCTGTGGGTCTCTATGCGTGTCTGTGGGTCTCTGTGTGTCTGCGTCTCTGCATGTCTGTGCGTGTCTGTGGGTCTCTGTGTACGCCTGTGGGTCTCTGTGCACGCCTGTGGGTCTCTGTGTGTGTCTGTGGGTTTATATGTGTGTGTCTGTGGGACTCTGTTAGTAGAGGGGGTCTCTCTCTGAGTCAAATGAAACCAGTATAACCCGTAAAAACAAAGTTTTTCACTATAAATCCTTTATATGCGTGGCGGCTAGAGTCCTCTCGTCCTCTGGCTTGAGATGGCTGCCACCTATGGGTCAGATGATTGCATTGCACCATTAAGCAATTGGTAATTAAATATAATTTTTGTCCTAAAAAGTGTACAATTTTGGAAACATTTTTTCACGAACATTAATTGTCACGCACAACGAGTCTGTGTGGAAAATGTCAGCTCGATTGGATCACGGGAAGTGGGTTAAAAAACGACCGAAAGATTTGCACGGTCATAAGCAAGCAAGCGAACTTAATATAAAGGATTTAATAAGTATAACCCGTAAAAACAAAGTTTTTCACTATAAATCCTTTATATGCGTGGCAGCGAACTTAATATAAAGGATTTAAAAATATATTCGCCTGTGGAGGACGCGGGGATCGATCCCGCGACCTTTGGCATGGGAAGCGAGGGCGCTACCAACTGCGCTACTCCGCTACGGCCTGTGGAGGGGTTACGCTCTGGGCTCTTATACTGTGACGTTCAGCCAAAGCGATGAATAAGTTCTATTTGAATATATGTAAAAAAAAAAAAAATTTTGCCTAAAAAGTGTAAAATTTTGGGAATTTTTTTTCACGAACATTAATTGTCTGTCACAACGAGTCTGTGTGGAAAATGTCAGCTCGATTGGATCACGGGAAGTGGGTTAAAAAACGAGCTAAAGATTTGCACGGTCCTAAGCAAGCAAGCACGCAAGCAAGCAAGCACGCAAGCACGCAAGCAAGCAAACTTAATATAAAGGATTTAAAAAGATGAATCCTTGATTCCTTCCATAACGTAGTCGGGGTTAACATTTTCAGAATCGGAATCTGCTATTAGTAGCGAGTAGCAGCAGCACCTATGAAGGCCGTCTCTGCACATGAGGGTATGGAGTGGCCAGTACCACGCCCGACCGCCTTTGTCTCCCCAGGGGTGGTTTTTTACACACCACACCAGGTACTAATTTGAGGCTGAGTCGACCTCGAGGAGGCCCAGGACCGATTCAGATTATCGTTACGTGTTGGTGGCCGTGAGTGGGTCGCTGGGTTCGTAGCGCAAGCGTGCTAACCACTACTCTACCGCTCCCGACAGACTTGGCTATACACACACTCGCACCTTCGATTAGCATGGTTGGCTACGTACGGTGTGAAAGAAGTTCAACATATATACAGAACACGCAAAATCCACAAAGAACGAGTTGGGAATAAAACCCAGCCCCCTTGCTGTAAGGCACAGGTGTTACCACTTGTGTAGTGACTGTACTCGTCACTGGATGGTGCCTGGGCTTGCAAAGTCATTACGGGCAGCCCGGGTTACGGGCTGCAGTACCAACCCTAGCGGTGGTTGGGTGAGCGCTGGTTAGCGCGAAGGCACCGCGAGCAGTGTGCCAAACTGGCTCCCAGTGAGGGAGCGAGAGGGAGCGTCAGTCAGCCAGGGTTACTCTGGGGAATGACACTCTGGCTGTGACCTGTTGTTACGTGACCGGACGATACTGGAGGGGGGCCACCGGTGGACGGGGGCCGAGGGGCGGTCACGTGGTCCCGAAGGGCTCTCGGGAACATTCGAGAAGGAGCTCGAGAAGCCTGGAAAGTGGGTGGGGCTAAGGGCGGAGCCAGCCCCAGCCCGGGAGCATATAATGAGAGCTGTATGACGAGCTTGGGGTTCTTCAAGTGTTGGTGTTGGAAGAAGAAGCCTCTAGCCACACGGTCCAGGACCCAGCTTGTGGTCCATTCCGGGATAGCGAACCGTGTCTAGTTCAGCCGTAGCATGGTTAGGTGGGCATTCCAGACCCGAGTGTAGATTGTGTTGTGTTACGTGTTAATGCAGAATAAATAGTGTTGCTCCCAAGATAACGTCTGCGACTCAGTTGGACTCGCTACACTTGCACCACCTCCCTACCCACATGTATGTACATATGTTCAACTTCTTTTGCACCATATGTAGCCAACTGTGCTAATCGGAGTTGCGAGGGAAGGGCAACAAACTAAACACATAAAGCAGTTCTAAACATATGATTTTTCAATCTTGATTTAAATGTGCATATCTCCAGTGGCTTCCTAATATGGGAAGGAAGAGTTTTTCAGATGGCCACATCATCAATATCACCATCATCACAATCAACGTCAACATCCCCCACTTCATTGTCAATATCACCAGCATCAACATCATCACCAGCTTCACCACCATCATGTATGTACAGGCACCCTGCTCTACTTACAAACGAGTTAAGGTCCAGAGGTCTGTTCGTATGTCAATTTGTTTGTAAGTACAACTTTACTCCTGTTGATTCCAAACCTGTTGTACGACATGTACACTAAATAGAGTGAATGGGTTTAAAAGTTGTATAATCTCCTGTAGATGTAGAAGCTACTGGTTCTTCATGTTCTGCGGATGTAGATTCCATTACCGCCATCTATTATTGTGCAGCGGTTGAACTTACGACTCTCAGTCCGACCAGGCAACTGGACATACGGACAGGTTTTTTCATATCTCTGAAGGTTTGTAGGGTAAATGTTCATAAGTAGAGATGTCCCTGTATGTATGTTGAACTTATTTCTCAGCGTACGTAGCCAACCGTCCTAATCGGAGTTGCGGCAAATGGACAACAAACTTGACACAAAAACGTTCCAAAGAAATTAGTTTTCAATCTAGATGATTTAAAAGTGCATAGCTCCAGTGGCTTCCTAATCTCAAAAGGAATATTCCAGACAGCCGCAGAAGCACATCTGAAAGTGTGCGATGCAGTGACCATCTTTGTTCTATGGCTACCCAAAAGCCACTGCGAGGATGACTGCAGTTTGCGTGATGGCTGATGTTCCTTGACAAGATCAGCTGGGTTATGATAATCTGGACGGGTGCTGGACTTGAATGTGAACCTCTGCACCAAGCGGCGATCATGTTTCTTCTTCTTAGGTATTAGCTGCTGATGTTGAGGATCTATTGAAATTTATATTCTAACTGTTCTCATGGCTACAGACGTATTGCTGATTGGAAGCGTATTATCAAATAATACACAGGTCACCATACATCGATGGTGATTAACTGTGAGCAACCAGTAACAGGTATTGTTCTTTATTTTACCCAGAAACAGCAGAATGTACATACATAATATACATGCATAATGTACAGGCATAACATGCATGCATAATGTACGTTGATTACAATATGAACAACCGGACTAATTTATATTAAGACATTACCCCCCCCCCCCCCCTGGTCTTCGCACCTGATTGGCTCAATCAGGCTGCTGCCTCATGATGTCGGTTGTAATTACGGGTGAAACATCCTACTCAGATTTTAAATGTTGTGGATTTGCTCTCCAACACACCGGTGTAGTGTACTAGTGTAGAGGAGATAAATGTGCGGTGCGCACAGTTAAGCGGGTGCAACTGAGGAGAAACAGGTGTGCATGTTGCAACATGAGGTTTGCACCGACAAACCGACAGTAGTTAAGGGGAGAAGTGGGTGCAACCGAGGTCGAACAGGTGCTACGATGTGACCAGAGGTTGCTGTCAAAGAGACGGGAGATGGGGGTTGATTAATGGGCCAACAGGCGCCTGCCTGGCGGCATCTTAAGTGGAAGCACGTGAGGATTCGAAATGTGCAGGGGGATATAAGCAGGAGTGTGTGTGAGCGAGGGGGGTGTTGCCGGGAGCCAAAAGTGAAGACATCTCGCCGCTGCCGCTCCAGCCGTCAACGGGACCCTCAACCCTCACGTCGTCGCCGGGCGGGTGTTGGCTGAACCCCCTGCCTGGGACAGACGGGTGAGCGGGTCTGAGGGAGCGTAGGTGAGGGCAGCGGTGGAGATGGAAAGTTGCTGTGTGCAGAGTCGCTGAGTGCGAAGACGCTGTGGCGGAGTCGCTGAGTCCAAAGACGCTGTGTGCGGAGTCGCTGAGTGCGAAGAAGCTGTGTGCAGGATAAGTGAGCTGCAGATAGATGAGAGAGGGGAGAAGTTAAGTATATGTGACCGTACAGATAATTATAGGAGTGCCTATAACTGGCGCAAGAACAGGTGAATAAAGTGTAAGCAGGTGACTTGTTACAATGTGTCGGTGTGAGTAATTTTTGAAGACACTACACTAGTAACGAATTATCATGTTCTTTTTACGTGACAAACTTTACTAATTGGCCATGTCAGGTGGTGGCGGGTTCAACAACACATTTACGCGATCTCACCCAAAAAAAACCTGTTATGGATATAGTAGTGCAGTGTTTAGTAGTGTGGTGTATATAGCATCTGAAAGCACACCATGCCGAGTGACCGTCTTTGTTCGATGGAAACCAAAAAGCCACTGCTGACAACTGCTGTTGAATGCAGGACTCTGTTAATTTGGTTCCCTGTCTCTCTCTTTCCCCCCCTGCCCCCCCCATAGCCATGGAGCCTGAGGCGTCGCTCAAACTGGAGGACGAGGGACGCCACGTGGGCGTGGAGACCTGGGCTGGCTTGAAGCTGGAGGTCGAAGGTAGTGGTGGAGGCTTCCGGTGGGCCTGGGGCCATGCAAGTCACCTGTCTCTTGCTGTAGTTCTTCTCCTAGCAAGCAGCAGCACGTGTAGAAAATTCTCTGGCATGTGTCATGACGGGTACTACAAGAAACCTGACCGTCTCTGTCCGGTGCTCGCTGAGCTACATTGACTTGTGGTTGCGGAACGAATACATTATAAGGTCACGCTCATTAGACACAGTGCTTGCCACAAATTAACCACAATATCTTGCTCATCTCATCAAGGGGCATAAACCATCATGCGAACTCCGGTCATACTTGCAGAAACTTTTGGCTGGCCATCAAACAAAGGTGATCACCGCATTGCGCGCTTTCGAATGCACTTCTGCGGCTATCTGGAATGCTCCTCCTGATGTTAGGAAGCTACTGGAGCTGTGCACTTTTAAATCATCATCTAGATTGAAAACTCAATCTAGATGTGCCTCCGCGTAGCTTCACACATGGCATTGGGATGCTGCTGGATCCTTCTGGATGCCACCCACGCGCCTCAGTCTTTGTTCAGCCTGCATACGCATCTCACATGTTATCGTTATAGGAGAACAGACTGCACATATGTTCGCGTGTGCAGTGGGAGCGAGTTTCAGACGGCTGCCGGTGAAGCCACAGAGAAACGCCGCTTGGCCAGTACGGTCCTGGTTCTGGGCTCGATGAGCCATTTGTTAGATTAATGACTTTGTAGGATGCGGCGATTTTGCTGGGGTCAGTAGAGTACGGCTGATGTAGATGCAGTGCAACAATTACAATTTCACATTCCAGCTGCCAAGACAGGCAACTGCGTCAGGAGCAGCGGAGTGTATCGCTGTGTTGTCTTTTTCGTATTTGTGGATCAGAGGTCTCTCTGTCTGCGTGATGCATGCCTCCGTGTCTGTGTGACGCATGCTTCCGTGTCTGCGCGACGCGTGCCTCCTTGTCTGCATGACACGTGTCTGTGTGATGCGTGCCTCCGTGTGGCAGCGCTGGTTGTCGGAGCGGATGACTGGAAACCGGAGATCGGTGATATCAGAGTGAAGACCGAACCGGACGATGGTGAGACGTCCACCACAACCACCACTACCACCATAACAACCACCACAACTACCACCACAATTACTACAACCACAATCACCACAACCACCGCAACCAAAGACCAAGATCCCCCATATAGCCTTAATAGACTGTTGGTGCTCTTGGCGAGCACCTATGAAGGCCAGCACGGTACAAAAGGGGGTGGGTGGCCAGCACCACACCCAACCGCCTTTGTCTCCCTAGTGGCGATGTTTGCACACTGCACCAGGTACTCATTTGAGGCTGAGTCGACCTAGGAGAGGCTCAGGACCCATTCAGATAATCTTCACCGGTGTTGGCCGTGAGCGAGAATCACACTCGGGTCGCCGGGTTCGTAGCACCACGCTAACCACTCTGCCACCGCTCCCTACTCAACCTCCACCACAACCACCAAAACAACAACCACCACCACTACAACTACTACCACAAACACCACCACAACGTATGTATATTGAACTTCTTTTTGCACCGTACGTAACCACCACCACTACAACCACTACTAGTATAATGACCACCACAAGAAAACAGTTGTGAGATGTGAGACGCTGTATGTGACTTGTGCCTCCGTGTCTGTGTGGCGCATGCCATCGTGTCTTTGTGACGTGTGCCTCCGTGTCTGTGTGATGGCCCAACTCCGTGTTGCCAGTGCCGGTTCTCGGAGCGGGTGACTTGAAGCCGGAGGTCGGCAACATCAGAGTGAAGATCGAACCGAACGATGGTGAGATGACCACCACAACCTCCACAACCACCGCAACATCACCACAGCACTTGTGCCAGGCTAGGTGCACTCTGAGGCCATGTGAAGTGTCGAAGGCTCGCTGACAGGAGGTCACAGGACAGACGCAGGTGCCATCGGTTGACTGACTGAAATGACTGGCAGATGCACCAGCTGTACCCCCTACTGTGCCAACTTGCTGCATTTTAACTGCTCTGCCCTCTTACTGCTGGAGGGTGATTGCCTCCAGATGTCCAGTAGAATCCTTAACGAGCATCCTCCTTAGAGGCCGATTTTGACATTGAAGGTACCACTCATTGACAAGTACCAATCGGCTTCCACATCCTTCTGGACCCCATTGGTCCATCTCTTCTCTAGCCCATGCCACGCCTATTTTGCCTCATCTGTCCAGCCAAACAGAAGGTTCTTGGGCATGCGGTGGCTGGGCATATGGGATACATGACCCAGCCAATGGCCACCTTGCCTGCCAGAGCTCATTAATGGGACTGTGGCCAGATCTTTCAAGGATGTGTGAGCTCCTCACACAATCTAGTTTGGTTAAACCCTGGATCTTAGGCAGGCGAACCTGAATGTTTCAAACTGGCTGTTCTTTTAAGAGGGTGCCACGTCTCATAAGAATAGAGAAGGGAGGGCATAACAGTAGCCGAGAAAACCAGAAGCTTCGTGCAGAGACGCTACTGCTGACCCTGGAGTGTGCCACTAAGAGGTGGGGTCTTACCATCAGTCCCATTTTAAACTAAGCACCTGCTTGGGTATTTTGTGCCATCAAACACTCCACCCCCTCAGCTCCCCATTGGTGATGGAGCAGTTGTGGGGAAAGTGGAGAGTTTCCCATACCTGGGCAGTGTGCTTATGACCAGTTCTGGTTTGACAGCAGTGGTCTCGCTTCAAATCAGTCGGGTGGCATTATCTTTTCATCGGCTGCGTAATGCTGTGGTCTGTTACTCCCCACTACACCACAACTATTACAATCACCACAACCACCACCACCACAACCAGCCGTGTGAGGATGAGGAGCCGTGAGAGAGGCGGGTTTCTGTGTCTCACTGTCAGGCGGGGAGGGTGAGGAGGGATGCTGGGCCTTCGCTCAGCCCTGCGCACAGCGGCTGGAGGTAGAGGTGATGATGGATGACCCATTGAATGGTGAGAGTCCTGCTCACACCCCCATCCTCCTCCCCCTCTTCTCATCTCAATGTCTCACTGCTCCCTCCGTCTTCACACGCACAATCTTGGTGGTCCTTTTTAAGTTTAACTTTTTTTAAATTCACGCTTATTCACCCAGGAATGCGTTGCAGAGTCTCAAGATTATTTTTCAGTTGGCTGCTATTTTGCTGCTCTCGTGCGTAAATCCCAATGGGAGGTTTTGTCTAACACTAGTTACGTTGTGAGTGCAAGCATTTAAGTGTAGGGAAGAGTGACTCCGGAGGAAACCCAAGCGTTCCACTCACGCTCTATTTTAAAACTATATATATTTTTTACCAGTCAAGGCCCACTGAGCTATATAATAATAATACGCACTTATACAAAGCACCTTCCATATTGAATTATCTGAAAGCGCTTTACGTAAAAATAAAACTCCACTCACAAATATAGATACAATCTAAGCAAAATAGAAAGCTGATAACAATATCAATGACTACTCTCAAAATTGTAATAAAATAAAGAACTATAATAGTGAATAATTATTACAGAGTAATCCGCTCTTTTTCAAAAGCTACTTGCGCACAAATGATAGCTCCACCAAGTGGCTTATCAACATGTGGAAATGTATAGCAGCCAAATACTCCAAACGCATGTTGATATTGATTCTAAATTTGGAGGGAAAAAGCGGAGGACCCGGAAAAAACCCATAAGCAACCATGGGGACAGAGAGAGGCACGCAAACTCCAAATATCCAGCAGCAGGCATCACCAGGGTCGGGATCGAACTCACGATCTTCTGCGTAACAGGCAAGGTAGTTAACGTCTCCTAGCCACCGCAGCTCGAGTAACTTCACGGGATCTCTAAAGTCCGCTTGTTAAGCAGACGGGCCCACGTCACATTGTATGGTCAAAACGCAATGTAGCATTGGCCAGGGCGACTTGCAGGATTGTAAGCGTGAAGCTCTTGCTCAACTGCTCTCCACCGTCCCAGAGATTGAGCAGTGAATGGGTAGTACCACCCTCGGTGTCCACTGGAAAACTTGTCGAGGGCAGAAACGTACCCACGTAGGCCGTCGCGACCAATGTTATCCACCATGAAGGTTCGTTATACCTGCCACCCCTCGACAGCCAATTCTGACTAATCACCTGACGAAGCTGGTTGTTGTAATCTCCGGCGAAACGTCACGATACTCGAATTCTAAACGTTGTAGTGGGTTTACGCTCCAACACAACCAGTTTGTACTAAAGTATTCACTAATTGGCAAGTTTTGTTTATGTGACAAACCTCACCGATTAGCTGTGTCGGGTGGTGGTGGTGGTGGGTTTAACAACAACATTTATATCCACGTAATCTAGCCCAATACAAAAACAAACTTTTATTGTGCAAAGATTTCCCCATTGCAGACTGCACAGATTCAAGCGCTGAGGCATCGTTGGCTTTCATAAACCCCGAGCTGCCGCTCCCTCTGGGGGTTCGCAGGAGGTCGCATTAAGCCTTTCCCACGCGTGTTTATTTGCTTCATGTTTTACAAAAGATGGGTTCGACACCGCCGACTATGCTTTTCTGTTGTTTGATATACATGTGTACTGTAATAGCGCCGGCTGTTTGACAGCAGCGGCAACTGTGGTGGACAGACAGTACACACGTTGGTGAAAGTGTGCACGGTGTGTTGGCAAAGAGGAGGAACTAGGGTAAGGGTTGCAGAGGACCCCATCTGAAGGCCCCTGGAACCTGCTAGCAGGTTCGAGAAGGGAGGCGCGGTCAGGGCAGAGCCAGGCCGCGCTGGTAGCATAAAAGAAGCCAAGAGCGGGGCTTGAGGCTGTTTTTGGAATGGACTCATCTCGTCGTTGCTGTCATCTCGTCGCCGTCGTTGCTAAACGTCTCTGCTATATATTGTGCCATGAAGGATAGTAGTTGGCTATCTCAGTCAGCGCCTTGAGTGTTAGATGGCTCGTGTAATGTACAAGCTAGGCTGAACTACTGCGGAGAGTGTGTGGACGAGACCGGGAAAGTTTTTAATAAAGAAAGTGCCTCCTAGAAACTCTGTTTGAATTGTTGACGCTACATATGTAATGTATGTTTCATCTTCTTGGTTCTTTCGGTAAAGTCACGTATAAGGGAAATAATAATAAAATAAAACATAAAATCCAATTCTCACGATGTTTCGGCCACAACGCAAGCAGCCGTCCTCAGGTGAAGAACAGGTCTGTAGGAAAGACAGCGTCTGAATGACCTGTTCTTCACCTGAGGACGGCTGCTTGCGTTGTGGCCGAAACGTCGTGAGAATTGTATTTTATTATGTTTTATTTTTATTATTTTATTATTTCCCTTCTACGTGACTTTACCGAAAGAACCAAGAAGATGAATCCCTGCAGTCACGAAAGTTTTAAATCGAAATGTAATGTATGTTTGTATGTTTTTATGTTTGTATGTTTATTTGTATGTATGTATGTTTGTTGTCTAACTGTTGTGATCCTGCCAGTTAGACTCAATTGCTCTATTGTGAAGAGTGAAATTATATATTTTCTTTATTGTTTACTTCCACTCTAAAGTACTTCATATGCTCGTGTTATTTAGTTATGAATTTGCATGCTACACGTATGTTAATCATTAATCTCCTTTCAAAACTGCAATCACCTCGACTGGACCGCTTACCCTGCACGTGTCACATGGCTCTATAGCTATGTGGACTGACGTCGAATCACATAATATGAAACGTGCACGCGTATGCAATCAATGATTTATTTTAATTGTGCATTTGGTGCTCTCGCTGTGTGAAAGTCACATGTCAAAACTCTTCACTAAATCTATCTGTTAACCCCCCTTCCTCCTCCATTCCCTCTCCGCTCTGCTGTCCCGGCGGCCGCAACAGGTGCACACGACGTGACGGTCGAGCGTGACGGTGAAGCGAGCGTGGACACGAGGACATTTGTGGACGTGGAGGTGGTGGTGGATCACATCGGCCGCTGCGGTGAGTTTGGGCATTCGTCGTCGGTTTCGGAGTGGCAGAGCTCACGGAGGTTCACAGCGTGGATCTGTCCAAAGTGAGATCTTGCACTCATTACACACAAAGTTCTTGCCACAAATGAACCACAATACCTTTTTGATCTCATCAAGGAGCATAAACCATCGAACAAAGACAATTAGCGCATCACGCGCTTTCAGATGCACTTATTTGGCCATCTGCAACACTCTTCCAGCTGTAGGAAGCCACTGGAACTACACTTTTATAAATAATTAAGATTGAAATTTTTTTTTTAGAGCTGCTTTTTGTGCTTCGTTTGCTGTCCTGCCAATTGGCATGGTTGTCAAGGTATGGTGCAAAAAAAGTTCAACATACAGTGCATCACAATCACTAATTAGCTGTATGTAATCAATAAATCATACCTGTTAAAACTATTAATACAATTACAATCATACAATTACTCTAAATTTTGAACTTATTTCTTTCTAATTGCAAATAAGTTCAACGTACAAACATCCACACTACAGTCTAATTAAGACCATATGCACGCCCACACCTAAATAATGCATCAAAGAACAGATTATGCATACACACATCAAAGCAGTAGTGTAACAGATCAACGTACATACATACATGTGTAGTGACACAGGCGGAGACAGTAGTAGATGGAGGCACCTTCTTTTCTTACACATAGTGAGGACTTCACACACCCTACGTGGGTGCACACTATATACTTTCAAACACACACAGTCGTCTATTTTCGGCGGCACCTAACTAGCTAGAACAATTGGCAGGTTCTCTAGCTAGCGGCGTCGGCGATGGTGAAGACGGCGGCGACGATGGTGTCGAGACGACAGCATGGCGAGATGTTTTATCCCCTGTATATATTGTCGTCCCTTGACGTGTGTACTGCCGTACCTTGTAGTTACGCGCTATTGCGCTACACATGCATACGAAGTGCCCACCCGAAATCACCTGCCCTGCCCCCATCCCACTGTGTGCCCCTCCCCTTTGCTTCCACGCTCCGGCCCCAGGAGGTGACGTGAAGGTGAAGCGCGATGACGGAGAGGCAGACGTGAGCACGAAGGCAAGGATGGATATTGGGGCGCCCGTGGATGACAACGGCCACGGTGAGTTTGGGCAGTCGTTGGTTGGGATACAATTCACGGAGGTCAAAAAGGTTTCTTACTACACAACGTGTGCAAAACTCCCTGGCACGTGTCATGATGAGTCCTGCAAGATCTGACCATGTCCGTCCGGTGCTCGCTGAGCTGAATTGGCTACTGGTTGTCAAGGAGCTTAAGCCATCATGCAAAGTCCTGTCATTGCATTGCGCGGCACTTTCAGATGTGCTGCTTCTGCGGGCATCTGGACCGTTCTTCCTTCAGATATTAGGAAGCCGCTAGAGCTATGCATTTAAGTCATCATCTAAATTAACAAACTCTTTTCTCCATAATAGAGGTTTTTTTTGGATTTGATCGCGTAAATATATAAATGTGTCGTTGAAACCCGCCACCACCCAACACAGCCAACTAGTAAGGGTTGTCACGTAAACAGAACATGCCAATTCGTCACTAGAACAGCACACCAGTGTGTTGGAGAGCCATTTTGCCAGTAATTACAACTAGCTTCATCAGGCGACAGCCAGATTTGTGGAGAAGTTCCACCTGTTTCGTTCTTTATATAGAGGCATAGATGTGGTGACCACACTTCTGCGCTCTTGCGCAGAAGTGTGAGTTACATTATGCATGCACCTTATGCGAGCCTTTTGATCTTGTCCTTCCTGTCCTTTGCGTGTATTAAAATAGCCATACCAACGCTAATCCCTATTGAAGTATTTTGGACTGTAATAGGCATGCATTTAAACAATGTATTATTTGATGATTCGCTTCCACGCAGCACTAAATTGGTAGCTATCCGAACGGTTAAAATTATTATTTTTTCTTTCAATTTCGATAAATTCTCTAGTTAGTCTTGGCCAGTAGTACCTAGTTTTGCACAGAACTTAAACATCAAAATCAATTGAGTTCTTGTTGGCATGCGTGTTCTGCTACTGCTGACAGTTGTATTTGGGAGTATATTTAATATTTCTATGATGTTCTTTTCGTCTCGTGCTGACCATTCGTCCTGTTTGCCCAACATAGCATTTTCTACAAATGCAGTTAATCCTGTACACACCTTCTGTTGATAAGTAATACTTTTCGATTTAAAGCTTTCGTGACTGCAGGGATCCATCTTCTTGGTTCTTTCGGTAAAGTCACGTAGAAGGGAAGTAATAAAATAATAAAATAAAACATAATAAAATAAAATAATTCTCACGACGTTTCGGCTACAACGCAAGCAGCCGTCTTCAGGTGAAGAATGAGACACTACCAAGCTAGGAGCTTATATATACGCTGCGTTTGAGGTGCAAGAGCACCTTAACAAAAAGAATGTGCATATGAAGAGGAATTTAGCATATTCATGGGAAATGCGTAATTGTATAGTAAACATATAGCAGTGTGATACACATTAGGGTGAGTAGAATAATACATAGTGTTATATTAAAATGTATAAGGTATAGGGTGGTTTATAGCAATACAGTATATAATTTAATGTTGGGTTTATCTATGGCAGTATATAGTACGGTGTATGCTCGTGTGATGTAAGAGAATAAAGTTTAGATGGAAGCATATATAATTTTTACGACGTAGAATTGTAATGTATTACTTGCTTTTAGTAACTCAGCTTATTGTAGAGTATAGTAAGTATACTGATGGTGCTATGCAGTTTATACTTTAGTTTTTTATGTAGTTTATACTTTAGTTTTCTACGTTGTTGTTTAGTAACTGCAGCTACATACTATTAACATTCTTTTCCTTTGTTAATGCTACTGCACCCCCCCTTGGTGCTGTTGATCCTGCATAATGCATGGCCATAATATGACTATGAAACCCCCCCCACCCACCTCCTACGCATTTCCCATGAATATGCTAAATTCCTCTTCATATGCACATTATTTTTGTTAAGGCGCTCTTGCACCTCCAACGCAGCGTATATATAAGCTCCTAGCTTGGTAGTGTCTCATTCTTAACCTGAAGACGGCTGCTTGCGTTCTAGCCGAAACGTCGTGAGAATTATTTTATTTTATTATGTTTTATTTTTATTATTTTATTACTTCCCTTCTACGTGACTTTACCGAAAGAACCAAGAAGAAGTAATACTTTATTTTGGTGATTTCGAAAAGTGTATTGGTTTAGCCATGTTTGTTTGTTGTAGTACAGAGTTAGACTAATGGCCTTAATCTAAGTTGTCTTGTGGTTGTTGTTGGTTGTTTGACTTGCATCCCACTGGGATTTTTGCACACAGCGTTGGTGTACGGTGTTTTTTCTGCAATATTTTGCTGTCTTTAATTGGATTTTCTGTTTGCACTCAGTCACATATTCACTTTAAGATGTTTTTTTGTTCATGTTTTAGTTTTTTGTTTGTTGCGGTTGCACCTGATTCAAGAGCCGAATGGCTCACAGGGCTATACCTAATAAATGAACTTGAACTTGATTACATCTTTTATACCAGACTAGCTGTACTACCCGGCTTCGCCCGGGACTTGTATCTACCACGGCCGGCCGCCTTTGTCTCCCCAGTGGCGATGTTAATACGCTACAGCAGTTACTCGTTTGAGGCAGAGTCGACCTAGGGGAGGTTCAAATAATCGTCACCGGTGGTGGCCGTGAGCGGGAATCGAACTGGGTTCGCCGGGTTGGTAGCGCAGCGTAGCGTTAAGCACTACACCCACCGCTCCTCACACACCACACACGCACAGACACACACACAGACACACACACAGACACACGCAGACACACACAGACAGAGACACACACACACACACAGACAGCACGCTAACCACTACACTACCGCTCCCCACACAGCACACACGCACACACACAGACACACACACAGACAACAACAACAACAACCGCCATTCGCCACTAAGTGGCGGTGACGTCACCACGATGCTTGTGCCAGGCCAAGTGCACCTTGAGGCCACGTGAAGTGTCGAAAGCCCGCTGGCAGGAGGTCACGGGGCAGACCCAGGTGCCACTGGTCGACTGACCGAGATGACCGAGATGACTGGCTGATGCACCACCTGTGCCCCCTACTGTGCCAACTTGCTGTGCTTTAGCCACCCGGCGCTCCGCTCGTTGTTGTGAGCGTCGCTCCTCCGCCCTCCGTTGTTGTTGGAGGGCGACTGCCTCCAACTGCCCAGTAGCGTCCTTCACGAGCCTCCTCCACTGAGGCCGATCTTGACACCGCTGGTACCAGTCATCGGCAAGTCCACTCAGCTCCACGTCCTCCTGTACCACATCACTCCATCTCTTCTCCAGCCCGTGCCGCGCCCGTCTAGCCCCCTCGATCCGGCCGAACAAAAGCTGTTTAGGCATGCGGTGGCTGGGCATGCGGGCTACATGACCCAGCCAACGCAGCCTTGCCTGCCGGAGGAGCTCACTGATGGGACTTTGCCCAGATCTTTCAAGGATTTGTGAGCTCCTCACACAATCCAGCCTGGTTAAACCCAGGATGGATCGTAGGCAGGCCAGCCTAAATGTTTCCAACCGGCGAAGATGCTCCACCAGGGGGGTCCACGTCTCGCAAGCGTAGAGAAGGGAGGGAATGACCGTGGCCGAGAAGACCTGAAGCTTCGTGCGGAGCGACAGACCAGGTAGCTTCCACACAGCGTTACGCAACCGATGAAAAGATATTGCCGCTCGACTGATTCGGAGTGAGACCTCTGCTGATAGACTGGAGCCGGTCATAAGCATACTGCCCAGGTATGGGAAACTCTCCACTCTCTCCACAACTGCCCCATCACCAATTGGGAGTTGTGGGGGTGGAGTGTCCGATGGTACAAAATACCCAGGCAGGTGCTTGGTTTTGGTGGGGCTGCTATTACCAAATCATCGGCATACATAACGTGGTTGACCAATAAGGAGCCATCCCTTGATCGCACCCGGGCGTCGATCAGCCTCCCATTATATCTGTACCAAACGGAAATTCCCCCGGTACAGCTATTGAAGGCTTCACGAACTACGCGGTCAAAATAGATGTTAAATAATGTGGGAGCCAGAGGACATCCCTGTCGCACCCCAAGGTGTACAGGGAAAGGCTCCGACTCCCGGCCACGTAGTTTTACCCGGGCCCGCTCACCATCATGAAGGTCCTTAATGATCGTGAGCAGAGGGTCAGGGACTCCGAAAGCACGAAGAACAACCCAGAGTCCAGTCCTACTGATGGTATCATAGGCCTTGACCAGGTCAATAAAGCAGAGATGTAGGTCTTTTTGGAATTCCCTACACCTCTGCTGTAGCAGACGGACAGAAAATATGGCATCTGTGCAGGACCGCCCTTTCCTGAAACCGCATTGGGGCTCCGCAAGCCCCTCCTCAGCGTGCCTAGCAAGGCGATGTTGAATAATCCTTGCCAGGACCTTACCCGGCACACTGAGGAGTGAGATGCCCCTGTAGTTGTTACAGTCTGTGCGGTCCCCCTTCTTAAAGAGGGGGACCACCAGGGCATCCTTCCAGTCCTGCGGAACCCGTCCAGTGGTCCAGACTGTTGTTATGATGTCATATAGGGCAGTCTGTGCACAAACGCCACCCTCCCTCAGCATTTCGCTTGGGAGATCATCTCTGCCCGGTGCCTTCCCTGGTCTCAGACTCCGGATCGCCCTCAGTACTTCCTCAACAGCTGGAACCTCAGCCAGCCACTCACAGGGGGTGACCTCTTCCAATATTTGAGGCACCGCAGCCTCAGCAGGGTTATCCCCACTTTGTGCCATGATGTTTTCCTGGCTGAGAGAATTTCCCTCCCCCAGGACCTCACAGAAATGCTCAGAAAATCTGCAAACCTGTTCCTGGGGGTCGGAGATTGGATCACCGTTTTTTCCTCTAATGATGGTAATAGGTGTGGCGCTGCAGGTTACTTTTTTGATGGAGTTAAATAGTGATTTGTGATCACGGGCCACTGAGGCAGACTCCATCTCCTCAGCAACCCGCGACCACCACCCATCCTTACAACGCCTTACGGCTCTCCGAACTTCCGAGCGAAGGCTGCGGTAAACCTCCTCATTCTCTGACGTGGGATGCTGTAGGCGATGAGAGTGGGCCTGTCGCTTTTTCTCAATTAACCTGAACACCTCCTCTGTCAGCCAGGGTTTCTGGGGAGGTCTGGACCGCGTACCCAAAGCAGCCATTGCAGCTGCATGAGTCACAGTCTTAAACCTCGCCCATTTACCCTCGACATCAGGTGGAGTGGGGGACGATGCCAACCCCAGCTGCAAGCGATGATGAAATTCTCGCTTGCAACTTTCATCAGCTAACTGAGACCAGGCCACTTTTGGTTGGAATGGGATCCTGGGTGTACACCCACCACCGGAGTGGAAGAAAGGCAGGCGCATCTTACAGATGACTAGTCGATGGTCAGAGGACAGATCAGCTCCACGGTAGGTCCTGGTGTCAAGGACATGGGTTCGCATCCGCTGGTCCGTCACTATGTAGTCCAGCAGATGTTCTTGCTTGGACCCGGCATGTATCCATGATGTTGTGTGGATGCGCCGATGCCGGAAGAGCGTGTTGGTAATTACAAGCCCATGGGCTGCACAAAAATCTAGCAGCCTCCTACCGTTATTATTGAGCTGATCTGGCCCATGCCTTCCAATCACTCCAGACCAGGTGTCAGCATCATGACCAACTCGGGCATTGAAGTCACCCAACAAGATGACTCTGTCCCGAGTGGCCACTTTAGCCAGCACCTGTGACAGGAGGTCATAGAAAGCGTCTGACTCATCGGCTTTGCTTGCATCCCTCCACGGATGTTCGTCTTCGGTGGGGGCATAAGTAACCACGACCACCACTCCTCGCCTCTGGTTGATGGGAAGGCGAGCCCAAAGTATCCTGGGGCTTACAGCTTCCCACACCTCACCGCCACGCTCCCACGCCCCCTTCATTCTTTTGTTCAGAAGAAGAGCCACACCCTGTTGTTTGGCAGTCTCCTGCCCCGAGTAGAGGACTGTCCACCCCTCATGGTGGCAGGAGCCAGAACCGGTCCACCGGACCTCCTGAATGCCACAGAGATCCAGGCGGTACCGGTCCAGCTCCCGACAGAGGAGTGGCAGCCTCTCCTCCGCAGTGAGCGTTCGAACATTCCACGTGGCCATCCGCAATGGTTTTTTGTTGTTTCTGGAGGAGCCCCGAGGGTGAAAATTCAATCTCCTGGCTCCGCCAAATGGGGTTTGGCCAGGAGACGTCATAAAAGCCTGACCCCCCGGGTCCTCCGGCACAAGCTTATTTGTTACAGGTTTATGTTTAATTCGTGGTTTAGTGGTAATGAATTGAAGGTGGAGGGGTTACCAGCCCCTCACACCCGTCCAGAGCCCCCGTTTAGCCACTGTGGTGGTCACAGACGCCATGAGGGGAGAGGCCAATGGGCATTGGCCCTCCCCCCACAGCAATGTCCACGACAGTGTTGCCCGTCCGGCACCGCGAGGAGGTAGGAGGTTGTTTTGCCGGACACACAGACACACACACACAGACACACACACACAGACACAGGCAGCACGCTAAGCACTACACTACCGTTCCCCCTACACAACACACGCGCGCGCGTCCATAGGTACACATACACGCGCTTGCTGCAGACACACACGACTTTCAGGGTGCGTAAGGCAGTAAGCGACTGAAATAATAAAGCGGCAATGCTGTGCGAGGAACGCCTTAGGCCAGCAACACATTTGTGTAATGCGAGCGTAAACACACACACACATACACACAAACACATACACACACATACACACACATACATACACACAGACATACACACACACAAACACACACATACATGCACACAAACACATACACAATACACACACACATACATGCAGACACACAGACAGACACATAACACACATACATACACACACATACATACACAGAAACACATACACACACATACATAGACACACACATACATACACACAAACACATGCACACACGTACATACACACATACATAGAGACACGCAGACATACACATAAAGACATACAAAAAAACCCACATACATACACACACACATACACACAAACACATACATACATACACACATACATAGAGACACACAGACATACACATAAACACAAACACACATACACATGACCCGGACTTGGATCCACGATGCCCGGCCGCCTTTGTCTCCCCAGTGACGATGTTCACACACGACAGCAGTTACGCGTTTGAGGCTGAGTGGACCTAGGGGAGGGCCAGGTCCGTTTCAAATAATCGTCAGCGGTGGTGGGCGTGAGTTGGAATCGAACTGGAGTCGCTCAAGCAGCTTAATGACTGTTTGTACAAAGAACATATAAAGAATCGATTATAATAACCAGGCAAGAGTCCACATTATAGACTGCCAGTACACGCACTCAGCTTCATAAGCAGGCTAGAGTGTACATGATAGAGTGGCAGTACGCTCACCGAGCTTAATAAGCAGGCTACAGTGTACATGATAGACTGGCAGTACGCTCACCCAGCTTAATGAGTATTTGTACAGTGAACATTAAAGTAATCGATTGTTGGCGCGTTGGGTTTAAAAGTAATATTAATAGCACACATTGTGGTGGGGGTGTAGTGAAGAGTAGGAAAAACTTTGATAAATTTACCTCAGAGTGGCGTGGTGGGTGTCGAGGCCTAGTAGCGTGCAAAGCCTGCGGCCTCGCCTAAAATTGTCGGCTTGGAAGAGGCAGGGTACGGGTGGCGTTCCTTCCCCCCCCCCCTAGCGCTCCAACAATACTGTGTAATGGGTATTATTTAATTAAATACGGAGCTTATGAAAGTGGCGAAGGCGTGGCTAGCCGTTGGCAGGGGCAACCGCCGTCCAATGAAACTGCAGCCCTTGGCGAAGGCGTGGCTAGCCGTTGCCAGGTCCAATGAAAGCGGCGAAGGCGTGGCTAGCCGTTGCCAGGGGCAACCGCCGTCCAATGAAAGTGCGTATGGGCCAAAGTCCACACACACACACACACAGACAGACAGACAGACATGAACGATTTTATATATATAGATATTAATTTCTATATTTTATGTACCGTGCCAAATGTGACTCGGATGTTTTGTTTTTCAAACATCTGGCTAGTTTATCAGTTACTCCCGCAATGTATGGTATTTTGATAATTTTTATTACTAGGGCAGTTTGAATGCTCGTGTTATTTGATTTGGTTTTGGCATTCAATGCCCTGTTGATTTGTGCATCATTGTAACCGTTCATTTGCAGTACTTCTGTAACATGTTTCATTTCACTTCTCAGACTGTCACCATCTGACACTTTCTTAGCTCGATGGATGAGCGTCTTGATAAGAGCAGATTTCTGTGCGGGGTGATGGCGTGACTGCATACAGATAGGTGTCATTATGCGTTTTCTTTCGGTAAACGCTGTGTTATTCTTTTTTTACCATTTCGACCCCGTCCGAGCAGAATATCCAGAAATGAGTTCTGTCAGCTTCCACTTCCATCGTAAACTGGATGAATGGGTTTTGCGAGTTGAAATTATTTAGAAGTCCATTAAGTGGATCTTTGCCATGTGGTCACACCACCAATGTGTCATCCACATATCTAAACCAAGCAGAGGGTTTTAGTGTGCTTGAAGCTATTGCTTTTGTTTCAAAATCTTCCTTGTACAAATTTACTATCAAAGGAGAGCCCATTGCTGCACCTTCCTTTTGTTTATGGAAGTCACCTTTCCACAATAAATAGGTGTTTTTTTAGACAGTGTTCAGCTAGTCTTGGGATATCTCTGGTTACCAGAGTGTCGAGTAATTTAATTGACTCGTTGACCGGAACCCTCGTGAACAGAGAAGTCACATCAAAACTTACGAGAATATCATTAGGGTTAAGCGTAATATCTTTAATTATATTTCCGAGATGTTCAGAGTTTTTGATGAACGAAGAGGTCCTACCGATGTAGGGCTGTATTTGGTTCTTTAAGTATTGTGCTAATTCGTATTTGGCAGAGCCTATTGTACTAACTATGGGTCTTAATGGGACATCAGGTTTGTGAATTTTTGGTAGCTCATCAAGTCTTGGTGGTTTTGATGCCCTTGGTTTGGTCAGCTATTGCTCTTCCTTGGAAATTGATGACTTGGCAATGATTGCCATTGTTTCACGTTCCAAGCTGCTGGTTGGGTCTTGTTTAATTTTAAGGTAAGTACCTTCATCGAGTAAATCTCAGATTTTTATTATCGTAGTCCTCACGGGGCATCACAACAGTTGACAGGCCATTATAAGCAGCAAGGAAGGCGTAGCAATGGGCTCTCCTTTATCTCCTGTGATAGCGATTTTGAAACAAAAGCAATAGCTTCAAGCACACTAAAACCCTCTGCTTGGTTGAGATATGTGGATGACATATTGGTGGTCTGGCCACACGGCACTCGGTTGTGTATTGTTTTACTCTTAGCTGGTTATTTTAACAGTTTCAAAACAAAGTGATTATAAAGATGTATTTTTTACTTAAACTAAAGTCTAAACTAATTTTTTTTATTTTATCAGGTAAGGCCCACTGAGCTATGTAGCTATTTTTCAGAAGCGACCTGGCCACAAATTATAGCTCAACGAAGCGGCTTTTCACATGGAAATGTATTGCAGCCAGATACTCTAAACATAGTTGCAAAATTTGAGGACCTGGAGAAAAATCCATGCAGCCATGGGGAGAAAGACATGCAAACTCCCAATATACAGCAGGGTTCAGTGGATTGAACTCACGAACTCCTGTATACTAGGTGAGGTAGTTAACATCTTGCCACTGGTTCCCCACTACCAATTCTCACCAGGTCGACCTCCTCCATCGGCGTGCGAGACGGCGTCAGGCACTCGCGTGGTCTCCGGGAGCGAGCGGAGGCCAGTGCTGCGCCCGTGCTCCGTGGTGCTGCGACTGCTGCGCACCGACGAGGGCCGCCGCCCCGCGCCGCGCCCTCGCGGTGGCGCCGACGACATCATGGCCACGCATGCTTGCGACCGCTGTCCGTACCGCGCGCGGCAGCGCCGGCAGCTCGTGGCGCATATTCTTTCCCACACGGGCGAGAAGCCCTTCAAGTGTGCCGCGTGCGGCAAGTCGTTTGCGAGCCTCAACAATGTCAGGAAGCACCACAACACCGTCCACCTCGACCTGAGACCGTTCAAGTGCCCGCGTTGCGGCAAGTGCTTTACCTCCCGGACGTTCCTGCGGATGCACATGCTCAGGCACACGGGGGAGCGGCCTCATGAGTGCGCGCGCTGCGGCAAGCTGTTCCGGCACAGGTCCTCGCTGGATGTCCATAAGCGCACGCACACGGGCGAGAAGCCCTTTGGGTGCGCCCAGTGCGGCAAGATGTTCTCCCGGCGGCACCACCTCCGCCACCACGAGCTCACCCACACGGGTGAGAAGCCTTGCAAGTGCACATACTGCGGCCGCACGTTCTCCCACGCACACAACCTCAAGACCCACATGCGCCTCCACACGGGGGAGAGGCCACATGCCTGCTCGTTCTGCGCAAAGACGTTTACCGAGACGGGCACCTTGAAGAAGCACCTGCGCGTCCATACGGGCGAGAAGCCCTTCCGCTGTTCGGAGTGCGGAAAGGCGTTCACGCTGGCGACCAGCCGCAATGTGCACATGCGCAAGCACACGGGCGAGAAGCCCTATGGCTGCCCCGACTGTGGCCTCGCCTTCACCAAGTCCGGCGCAATGAGGTCCCACCAGAGGAAGATGCACAACAGGACGGGGGGAGCACCATGCGTGCGCTTAGTGCGGTAGGAAGTTAACATGCCTGGGCCACCTCAACATGCATGAGCGCAGCCAGGAGCGGAAAAAGAAGTGCTACTGCCCATGACAGGAGAGCTGAGGTCGCGGTGCAGGGTGGTCGGTTTAGCGCTGCGCTTGGCCAGCTCACAGAGCCGTGGCGCATCCACGATCTGTTCACACTAACGTGCGGTCCCCATTGATATCGGCACTTGTGGACGACATCACCGGTGTTGGCCGTGAGTGGGAATTTAACTCGGGTCGCCGGGTTCGTATCGCAGCACGCAAACTGCTACACCACTGCTCCCCCACACTCTGTCACTGACAACACCCTCCCTCCTACCTGCCCCACCAGTCACACCCTCGCTCAAACACGCAGTCGCCGATTACTACCCCGTGAGTCACCGAACCTCCACGACACTCTACACCCTCACTCATTTGCCTCCCCCAACATTCCGTTGTGTCTCTTCCACTTAATCAGAATGTCCTTAAACTAGAGGGGAGAAATCCGATGAGCTGTAAAGCTCTCTTTCACACATGTCCAGTAGGGGCACGGGGTCAGAAAGTTACAACAGTACACACATCATTGGACCTCCAATGATGTAGATGCTCACCCCGAGCCCTGATTACTTTGATATTGCATTTGTCTTTGAGCTGTACGCCTTTTGCGTCCTCTGGTCGAGCACCAATTGGGTCGAGGCTCAAAAGAAAGCCGTCCTTTGGTGTTGACCAATCAGTTTGAAGGACAATGCATATATTATCAGAGTGTGTTTTTTTTGTTTGCATTTGACTGCAGGTATTGTGATTAATGCAGACATGAATCCTTGTAAAAAGGTTTCAGTTTTGTTGCCAGAAAAAATGGGAAAACCCCTATTATAACAGTACACACAAACACGATAAGAGTGCAAGGTATAGGAAAGGTAATCACATCACTTAAAAAATAAATCCTTTTTTTCAGGCAAGGCCCCATTGAGCTATTAGATTTTTTTTTTCAAAAGCGACCTGGCTATCACAAATGATAGCTCAACGAAGTGGCTTATCATCATCGCGTGGACATTGCAGCAGCAGCCAAATACATATACATAATCTAAACGCACGTTTCATTCTATAATGTGATAACGTTCACCTCCTGTGTGGGACCCTGAAGGTGTTATTCCCCTACGTGTTACCCCTAAAAGTTATCCCTCTTGATACCCATCACGTTACCAAACCCAGCACCATACTTCTGGTAAACAATGGTAATCCGTAAAATAGCTTAAAATGTAATTCTCATCAGACCCCATGGTGTATGTATATACTGTACGTTGAACTTGTTTCGTACCGTACCTAGCCAACCGTGCTAATCGGAGGTGCGGTAAACAACACTGACCACACTGCTAACACTCACGCTGACATTGGCAGATATAATTTACGTTACAATTGTGTTGGACAAAATTGCCGAGATGTATCATCCGGAGTATAAGAATTCCTGTGGCGTCAAAGAAAGGTTATTTATCTCTGCTCAAATGAGCATCGTGGCATTGCCGCCCATTGCCTGTTTATCGCCTGTTTACAGCCCTGCAAAGCCAGCGGTGGAAAATCCACATTCCTAGGGCGGGTGGATTTGGGGGGGGATTCTCCTACACAGGAGGACGACCACTGCCGATGCCTCAAATTGGTACTCAGAATCATATTTCTACTGGATTAATCCGATGAGCTATGAAGCTCTTTTTCACAGATGTCCAGGAGTTCACATGTTCCCGGAGGGAGGGATGATGATGGGCTGCATCAACCTTGCAATCAGCATTTGTTCAACTTGCAACCCTCCCTATGCGCGAGCCGCCCCGAGTGAGTCGGTGGACCGGCAGTGCCGGGTCGGTGAGTGGGTGGGTGGCCAGGCGAGGCCGGTGGGTGAGTGGGTGGGTGGGTGAGTGGGTGGGTGGGTGGGCAGGCGAGGCCGGTGGGTGAGTGGATGGACGAGTGAGTGGGTGGGTGGGTGGACAGGCGAGGCCAGTGAGTGAGTGAGTGGACGAGTAAGTGGGTGGGTGGGTGGACAGGCGAGGCCGGTGGGTGAGTGGGTGGACGAGTGAGTGGGCGAGTGGGTGGGTGGGCAGGCAAGGCCAGTGGGTGAGTGAGTGGGTGGACGAGTGAGTGGGTGGGTGGACGAGTGAGTGGGTGGGTGGGCAGGCGAGGCCGGTGGGTGAGTGGGTGGGTGGACAGGCGAGGCCAGTGGGTGAATGAGTAAGTGAGTGGACGAGTGGGTGGGTAGGTGAGTGAGTGGGTGGGTGGACAGGCGAGGCCGGTGGGTGAGTGAGTGGGTGGACGAGTGAGTGGGTGGGTGAGTGAGTGGGTGGGTGGACAGGCGAGGCCGGTGGGTGAGTGAGTGAGTGGACGAGTGAGTGAGTGGGTGGGTGAGTGAGTGGGTGGGTGGACAGGCGAGGCCAGTGGGTGAGTGAGTGGGTGGACAGGCGAGGCCGGTGGGTGAGTGAGTGAGTGAGTGAGTGGATGAGTGAGTGGGTGGGTGAGTGAGTGAGTGGGTGGACAGGTGAGGTCAGTGGGTGAGTGAGTGGGTGGACAGGCGAGGCCGGTGGGTGAGTGAGTGAGTGGACGAGTGGGTGGGTGGGTGAGTGAGTGGGTGGGTGGACAGGCGAGGCCAGTGGGTGAGTGAGTGGGTGGACAGGCGAGGCCGGTGGGTGGACGAGTGAGTGAGTGGGTGAGTGAGTGGACTGGCGAGGCCTTGGACATTCACCCGCCCACGGATGACCTCACCACTGTAATTGCTTTCACAACACGCGACTTGTCTCCTGTCTGCCCTGGGAACTAGTTTTGTGTCACAATGAACGGGGAACCCCCCCCCCCCCCCCCCAATCATCACCACTCGGGACTAATATTGTTAAATTAACCACGAATTATTTAGATTAATTTGCTGCTATAAATTATCCACGTGATAAGCCACTTTTCTGGGCTATCATTTGTGGCCATTTCGCTTCTGAAAAATAAGTTCACATCTTAGTGGCCTTTAACTGGTAAGAATTAGTTTTTTTTATATTTTTGAGTGATTTGTTTACATTTCCTATATTTTTTACTCCGATTGAGTTTGTGTTTGTTGTAACTTTCTGACCTTGCCCCGGCTGGACATCCGTGAAAAGGAGCGTTATTGCTCATCGGATTCCTCCCGCATTGTCAATAAACATTCTGATTCTGAATTCCCTGAAGTGTTGCGTGCTGTGCTTAAGACGTCATGAAGTCCAAGTTCAAGACTTACCCGGGTTGGAACAATTGTAAAGAAGAATATCGAGCACAACGCCTTAATCTGATGTTTATTAACCCTTTACCGTTCAGAGACGTCTGCAAGTTGCAGGGTGGGTGTCTCGTTCACCGCTGAATCTCGGAACGCGCAAGCGGCTCCGCTTTAATTTTATTTAGAGAGGTGCAGCGCCGTTGTTTTAAAGACACCGTAGAGATCCGTGCGATACGACCGTGCCGGGGGAAGGACAACAAACTAAACACAAGAAGCAGTTCTAAGGAAATGTTCTCAATTTAGTGTAGTATATAGTGTATAGTCTAGTAAGCGTTATAAATTCGACGCCGATGTTGTAACCGTCGGAGATAATTGCAACAACACCGAGCGGGCGGTCATTCCTTGTGCCGCCATGAATCACGGTCACGCATTGGGATTGCAGCGTCATCCGCACCCGATCGTTGAATGCGTTAACGAGGAGGTCCTTGTTAGGAGCGCATGGAGGTAATGGACGAGGCAGAGCTCTCATTTAATCACCAGCTCCTCCACTCCTATTTGTGGCAGTGACCTCACATTGGCGCTTTGTGGGCTCACGCGCACGCAATAACAACCACAACAACAACCATTGTGCCAGGCTGGGTGCACCTTGAGCCCATGTGGGGGTGGTGAAGGGTGCGACGTAGAACTAGAGACTACATCTCTGGTCTGTGCGTGTGTGCTACGGAGAAGGGGCATTTCCCGAAATGTCGCCTGCTATATACTTGTTTTAAGGTCACACGGAGTTGTTGACGAATCCGTGTTGATTGTATTTGACTGAACGAGATGTACCACGTGTGTGCGCGTGCTTTACACTGCGCCAGCTATCAAATAGCCTGTAACAGACTGTTGGGGCAAGTGCTGTTAGCGAGCACGAGGGGGGTAGGTGGGTGGGCAGCATCGCACCCGGCCGCCTTTGTCTTCCGAGTGGCGATGTTTACACAACGCCCAAAGGTACTAATTTGAGGCTGAGTCAACCTAGGTACAGGCCAAAGACCGGTTCAGATAATCGTCACAGGTGTTGGTGGTCGCGAGCGGGAATGGAAATCAAGGGTCTTAATGTAGTCGCGCTAACCGGTGCGCCACCGCTCCCCACATCGCCGTGTGACCCCCAAATGGTCACACAAGCGGTTGGGAAACCCCCCAAATGGTCACACAGGCGGTTGGGGAACCCCCCGAATGGTCAAACAGGCGGTTGGGGAACCACCCACATGGTCACACAGGCGGTTGGGGAACCCCCCAAATGGTCAAACAGGCGGTTGGGGAACCCCCCACACGGTCACACAGGCGGTTGGGGAACCCCCCAAATGGTCACACAGGCGGTTGGGGAACCCCCCAAATGGTCACACAGGCGGTTGGGGAACCCCCCACATGGTCACACAGGCGGTTGGGGAACCCCCCACATGGTCACACAGGCGGTTGGGGAACCTCCCACATGGTCACACAGGCGGCTGGGGAACCCCCCACATGGTCACACAGGCGGTTGGGGAACCCCCCAAATGGTCACACAGGCGGTTGGGGAACCACCCACATGGTCACACAGGCGGTTGGGGAACCCCCCAAATGGTCACACAGGCGGTTGGGGAACCCCCCACATGGTCACACAGGCGGTTGGGGAACCCCCCACATGGTCACACAGGCGGTTGGGGAACCCCCCAAATGGTCACACAGGCGGTTGGGGAACCCCCCACATGGTCACACAGGCGGTTGGGGAACCCCCCACATGGTCACACAGGCGGTTGGGGAACCCCCCAAATGGTCACACAGGCGGTTGGGGAACCCCCCACATGGTCACACAGGCGGTTGGGGAACCTCCCGGAGCCGCACGTGGCTCTTTTAAGGACCGCCGCTTCCGTGGCGTTATTCACACGCGATTGCGGCTCTTGAAATATTGCGATGGGGTTGTTTTTGTCGTTTAGGCAACATGTGAGACACAACGAGGTGCCCGCGACGTCCGGTGACGGCCCGATATGTCATGAGCGACCGATCAGCTATCGGACGTGGTGGGGGCAGCTCGAGCTGAGAGAGCGAGGAGGGTGTGAGATGGGGTGTCTGTGTGTGAGTGTCAGTGGAGAGGTGTCAATACCTGGGCAGTGTGCTCATGAACAGCTCCCGTATGACAGCAGAGGTCTCACTCCGAATCAGTCGAGCGGCATTATCTTTTCATCGGTTGCGTAACGCTGTGTGGAAGCTACCTGGTATGTTGCTCCATACGAAGCTTCTAGTCTTCTCGGCCACAGTCATTCCCTCCCCTCTCTACGCTTGCGAAACGTGGACCCCCCTAATGGAGCATTTTCGCCGGTTAGAAACATTTAGGCTGGCCTGCCTACGATAAATCCTGGGTTTAACCAGGCTGGATTGTGTGAGGAGCTCACAAGTCCTTCAATGATCTGGACAAAGTCCCATCGGTGAGCTCCTCCGGCAGACAAGGCTGCGTTGGCTGGGTCATGTGGCCCGGCCGGATTGAGGAGCTAAACGGGCGCGGCACGGGCTACAGAAAGGATGGAGTGATGTGCTACAGGAGGACGTGGAGCTGAGTGGACTTGCCGATGACTGGTACCAGCGGTGTCAAGATCGGCCTCAGTGGAGAAGGCTCGTGAAGGACGCTACTGGGCAGTTGGAGGCAGTCGCCCTCGAACAACAACAGAGGGCAGAGGAGCGACGCTCACAACAACGAGAGGAGCGCCGGGTGCCTAAAGCACAGCAAGTTGGCACAGTAGGGGGCACAGGTGGTGCATCAGCCAGTCATCTCAGTCCTCTTAGTCAGTCGGCCCGTGGCACTTTGGTCTGCCCCGTGACCTCCTGCCAGCGGGCGTTCGACACTTCACGTGGCCTCAAGGTGCACATAGCCTGGTACAAGCGTCGTGGTGACGTCACCGCCACTTAGTGGCGAATGGCGGTTGTTGTTGTTGTGAGGGTATCTGTGTGTGTCTTTGTGGCTTGGCTCTCCAATACACCGGTGTGCTTTACTAGTGACGAATTGGCACGTTCTGTTTACGTGACAACCCGTACAAGTTGGCTGTGGCGGGTGGTGGAGGGTTTTAACGACACATTTTTTTTAATTTACGCGATCTAACCCAAACAACCTCTATTATGGAGTCTGTCACAGGTTACAGAGGTGGATCTTTGTCATCGTGTCACGTGCGCGTGTATTTATGACTAATCGCTCATTGCACGAGCGTGACTCGCAGCGGCTATTCGCGTCTCGCCGTCACCCGCGCCCACCACGGCTCACGGCAGCTGCTGCCCTCGTACCCCTCCGAGTTCACTCCTCTGCGTGCGTCGCGCCGATCACCGATCATCGTCTGCGTCGCCATCACCACCACCGCGAATATCACCATCAGCATCGCTGCTCGGTCCACACCGCCTCATCTACTCTACGCCTTTTAAAGGTGCTCGCGAACATCACCGCCATAGCTGCTCGCGACTGCAGAGCTTGGGCGAGGGGTTTAACATCTTGCCGCGGTGGCCAGGAGATATTACATCCTCGTCTGGTATACAGGAGGTCGTGGGTTCGATCCCCACCCTGACGATGCCTGCTGTACATTTGGAGTTTGCATGTCTCTCTCTCTCCCCGTATTCGCGTGGATTTTTATCCGGACCGTCCGGTTTTCCCCT